GCATTACGATGTAAAATGATGTTCGAACTGTCTACAGTCATTGTATTTGCTGGCCAATCTAGCGACGAAAACGTGAAATATGAGTCGCTCGAGGCCATGAGGTCGTTGATACAGAGTTTCAAGGCTTACAAGGATCCAATACCCCAGTGGGTATTCAAAACCATTGACATTCTCGACGAATGTCAACCGGAGATACACGCTTCCCATGTTCGCGTCCGTGAGTAATTTGATATACGTCGACGTTGTTATCACTCAATTTTACTTTGTCTTCAGCACCTACATCCTATATACAATATCATAAAACTGCGAATCTACCAAGTAACTTTGTAGCACTGGGAGATAGTGTGATATCTGGTAAGCTCCTTCAGGTCTTCTTCTAAGCAGAAGTCCTGAGTCGATGAACTTTGTACAGTGGATCCGCTCTATGGGTATAAAATTTCCATCTGCCGATTTTGTCTTTATCTGATCATTCTCCCAACGACAGCCAAGGATGCACGAAAGCTTTCTTAGGTGCAGCTGTACTCCACAGCGTCCTCTTCGCCAAGTTGAAAGCCCATACCACAGAATTACCAACTGATTTTTCAGAACAGTTCTTCAAAGAGCAGTTCAACAAGACAGACAGTTTTTGGTAAGTATTCTTCTCTTCGGGGAAATTTATGATACTGATTCTCAATGGGTGCTTAGGCAGCTCACTCGTTTGCTAGGCAAGTAACATTGATTGACCAACGATTAACAGTCTATATGACCTGCATGTCTGTTACAGATTATGGGATCCCTTCTACTACGCCATTACCAGGCGAAGACCTCCGAATAGGTAGCCTAGTGCGCTGGTATCTAAGAAGATTACAAATTCTTGCCACAAAAGTGAGGCTCAAGTCTTATGTATTAGTTCTATTCACAGAATTCGAATTTTTGTGTTATATGAACTTCAGGATGCACACGCAGCACGAGTTTACTGGGATGGCAGTATGGGATTTGGTACATCTATTGATATTTTCCACCCATTGCTCATATTCAAGACTCTTTTCAACGCCATCATCTACTATGGATAGGATAGGGTAGAATACGGAATCTAGAGTTATGTATACTGACGTACAAATCAATGTGACCTGTTTGACGAGGTTGAGCTATAACTGACTACATTGAAGAGCAGAATTGAAAGTACTAATGATATTCAGTGGTATTGAGATGAAATTGTGCCCAAGGGCACTAGGTACTGAAAGTCTCGGGGAGGGGGCGAGTGTTGAAGTGAACCTTAGAAGTTGGTAATGTGATGATGAACTGATTCCGCCACCCAGCAGACGCCCTACATATTCTTGCATCTCGCTTATACTTTCAGTCATCATTTGCATTGCCTATCAATCACCCCCTCACGGACGAGGTAAAGGCTGGGCGGACCGTTTCTGGTCCTATTCATGGCTCTACCACGTTCAACAACTCGATATAATGACCAATTTTTAAAATTTAGATCTCAGCGCTCTACCAACGCTATATAAGCGACATTGACCATGTGGAATAGCTTTGAAGAAAATACTATCATACGATTTTGCGATATGATATTGTTAGAAGAGGGCAAAGGTATGGATCCTTGCATCCGCTAAAGCTCAAAACAAAGGGCAAGCTTTAGTTTCCCTAAGAGTAAAGCATGATCATCTAAAACCCCAGGCCCCATGGAGTTTGGGTGAAGGACCTTTTGATGCGTATAAAATACCGTCTGCCGCTACTATTCTACGGAATTTTGCTGGCTACGGCTTGAATATGTGTCGCAAGTATGTATTCGAGGAGTCACTCAGATTGTGTCATGACTCTGCGTCTGTTATCAATCAGATCTCGTCCCTGTTTACCCAAAGACCGAATGATATTAAAAAATATCCGCGGCATCTGTCCGGTATGGCAGATCATGATAGGACTTGAATTAGGATCTTCTGTGGTGTCAAAATCACCGCACTGCACAGTAGTGAGTATACAATATTGGATCTCTCTAGCTAAAATAACTCGACACACATTCTTCTTGTATTCTCATAGACGGAGTTGAAGCTGCCCTAACCTCGGTAATCATGTCCGGTCGTCCTGCTCAAATTGTCATCGGAGAAACTTTTTTTCATTGAATTCTATGTGGGACCCGTATCTTATGTTCATACTATTTCTTTCACAGACAGATACGATATTACTCTTCGATCCCTTATTCCAGGCCGCTCCATTTGTCGATACATCTACAACTTAACATTCCCCGATGACACTGAATGATTATCATCTCCGGCCCCCAACTTCGTAAACGCGCACACGGCGATATGCTCAGCGGATTGTATATATATAGTGCGCGGTTTATTCTTTCTTTCTTCGTCCAAACAACATCGCATAGTTTTCCATGATTTCTCAACTGGGTCAACTAAGAGTCACCCTCCAGCCATTTCTTGGTGTTGCCGGAGTCTTCTATGGATTGATCTTCCTAGCTTGGTGGCTCCTACGCCAGTATCTCTTCAAACGTCATTCAGGCATCCCCGAGATAGAGCAATTAGGGAAACCGCGTCCTCTCGGGCAGAAATTGTATGGAACAGCAGTGATATGTGGCGGGAGGTTTGTCTATCTCACTACTGAAAGCTTATGTTCTCACTCAGAATATATGTAGCGTTGCTGGACTACTCGCAGCCAGAGTCTGCTCTGAATTTTTTGAGCGTGTCGTCATTGTCGAGCCAGAAGAGTGGTTGAGCAGTGAAGATGGTATGCGCAGGTTTAGCTGGGAGCAGGAGCATAAGCGGACGCGTATCATGCAATACCACTCGCTACATGGTTCGTGGATGATAGTTCAGATTGTTCATCGCTTGAACTCATGTTGTCCCTGTAGGAAATCAGGCTCTCTTGTACGCTGGACTTCAGAAACTGTTCCCCGACCTTGATGAACAGTGTCGATTTTCAGACATAGCGTGAGTGACCAAATTTTCTGTCTCTTAATCATTAATATGTTCAATTTATTTTACAAGTATCTATCCAGCAGATAGGTTGAATTTCGCAGGAACGCCCATCCCAGCTCCTGTCGAGTCGTATCGCGGGCACCTACCCAAAACACTCCTTTGCAGTCGGGCGGGCTTCGAGACTCTTTTAAGGTACATCTGCGTCCTTTTTGCGCCACGATTATAATCAATGTCGTTACTAGACGTTTGGTGCTTGGCCGACAAACCTTTCCTAACATTGTGCAAATAGCTGGAACAGTGATTGGAGTTTCCTCACAGTCTGATGACCTATCTCGTATTAGCCGAGTCAAGATTCGAAAAGCCGACCTGCAAATTGAAGAGCTTGATGCGAGTTTGGTCGTCGGTGCGCCTTGCATTGTCATCATTCGATAGGACCAAGAACCTTATTCTTACTATTTGTAGATTGCACTGGGGTGACCCGTGCTGGAGTCAAGTGGCTATCTCAGTCTGGCTATGGGACCACCAAGGCTCATGTAGAAGGCAAACTTCCCTTGCAGGATGCGAAGATATCATTCGACCAAAAATTGCATTACTCGACTCTCACATGTAGTGTGACCCCTGCTACCTTGGAAAAAATATCAATGCCCAAGTTTGAAACTGGAATCGTAGAAGATGGTACCGATAACGGACGGCGTCTGTTTGCCATAAGCAAAACGGATGGCAATAGAAGTAGGTTATCTTTTTCACTGATTTGATTACGAAGTCTTCACTTTACCTCTAGTTTTGATTTTCGCCGGCCAATCCAGCGACGAGACTGTGAAATACGAGTCCCTCGATGACATTCGTGCGTTCATTCGGGATCTCAAGGTTTACAAGGATCCCGTCCCGAGCTGGATTTTTGAGGGCCTTGACATTATTGAGGAATCTCAATCAGATCTACACTTTTCCCATGTTCGTGTTTGTAAGTTAGATTCTTAGTTAAAATCATATCCACTCTACAATCAATCCTCTAATCATTCTGCCGTATCCAGTCCCCACGGCTTATATTCGATATCATCAAACGGTCAATCTCCCAAGTAACTTTATAGCACTGGGAGATAGTGTTTTGTCTGGTGAGCTCTTCATTTTGCTGCTTATTGTTGAGCTGAACTTTTGAACGCAGTTGATCCCATATATGGGTAATTAGTTCCTTACACAATTTCTATCCTGACCTGAATGTTGCACGAATGTTAGCCAAGGATGTACCAAAGCTTTCTTGGGTGCCGTCGTGCTCCACAGTACCCTTTCTGCCCAGACAAAAGCTGGTGCTAAAGCTTTGACGGCAGCCTTCTCAGAACAGTTCTTCAAGGAACACTTCAATAAAACAGATGGTTTCTGGTGAGTGCTGCAATCTCGTTTGCGATCAATAATCATAATAGAATTGGCGATCCTTAGGCAGCTCACTCATTTATTGGGTAAGCAATATGAGATACAATTGAAGTCTGTCTGATCTTCATACACATCCCAGATTATGGAGTCCCCTGTACTACGCCATTACCAGGAGAGGATCTCCAAAAGGGTAGCCTAGTACGTTGGTATTTGAGAAGGCTTCAGATTCTTGCTATAAAGGTCAGAAAGATTAGATTGTAGTCTCGGACCTTTATTACTGATCAAGCGTTGTTTGTGTATCAGGACACACAGGTTGCGCGAGCTTATTGGGATGGAAGCATGGGATTTGGCACATCTGTTGATATTTTCCATCCATGGATTGTGCTGAAGACACTTCTGAATACAGCCATTGGACAATAATGAAGATATGACTTCTATCTTTGTATGGGTGTAACTAGTCTAATTATCCTATACTGTTCAAAATGCTCATTAGCCACACAAATATTTGTGTGGGATTAATTTTTGTAATGGTGATTGCCAAAAGCAACTATCTATTTAAAAGTGTGTTTGGCAATGCATAATATGTAACACTTACCGTTGCATTAAGGGTTGCTTGAAGGTGAGGTCAAGGGAACTCAAGGAATGGCCCAATGAAAGTATAAGATTAATAAAAAGCTGTCAGCAAGCAAAGATAAATGTGCTAGACAACTAATATTTCATGGCCGGCTAGCTCAGTTGGTTAGAGCGTCGTGCTAATAACGCGAAGGTCTTGGGTTCGATCCCCACGTTGGCCATTTCTTTTTAGTTGCAGATAGTTTCCATTTTTGTGAATACACTTGGTGTGTCGGGTCGTTGCGGTTTGAGTGAGTGCACCTCTCGTTCGGTACAAGGATCCAAATGATATTCAGTATAATAGAAAATGATATTCAGTATAATAGAGAATGATATTCAGTATAATAGAGAATGATATTGAAAGAAGTCGATAGGTCAGCACAGCTTAATAGCCCTGTACAAGTATTGTGACAAAAATCTCTGTATTCCGGAAATGATACGTGATGCAGTCTCAAAAGTCAAAGGTAACAGAAGCCAAAGCTTGGAGAGGAAAGGAATATAGGGAACATTAAAGATAGGAAGATATGACAAATATGACTTGATAGAAGAGAGATGGAAGTACAAAACGATGATACACGATATTTGTATTTGTAGTTTAAAGACTGGTGAGACCAAGGATGACTAGATGGGGGAGAGGATGAGAGCACAACGGGGTTCGAGGAGAGAAGTTCAATGGGAGCGGATGAGACAGGAAAGGCAAAGAAAGGAGACGAAATCCAAAAACCCAAAGACAGACACAACTAAAGAGAAAATGACGAGGACAAAAAGCAGATGAGGTTCACGAACGAAGAGTGAGAGGGAGAAAACGAGAGGGAATGTAGTGAATGATAAGAAAGACTGACAAAGACGTTGAAGGAAGAAGGCACTGTTGAAGAAGACAGCGGAAAAAAACATTGACGCAGACACATTGTAAAATGTACGAATCTAAGTAGAGAGAATAGATACCAAGAAAGATATACGAGTAACAAAACGAGACAGGAACAAGACGAGAAGAGCTGAAAGCTGGAGTAAGCTACAAGGAACGGAAAAAAAGTCTTCTTTCTGTCGACACTTCCTACATTCCCAACATTCCGCCTGAAGAGGCCTTTTGAAGGAGGCCAAGCACCAAAGACCTTTTTGAAACAGTAGATAGCCATAACCATAATCAAGAAGCAAGAAAACATTCTCGAAGCCCCACATATCTCCTTCTGCACAGCTGGCTACTTCAATTCCCAAGTCCCTTTCATTGAGACGGAGGTACCACAATAAAACATACGCAACCATCTTCATCCCCACGTTCCTAAGGAGTGGCAAATGGTAAACGGCGAACAAAACAACTACTTAAACAGCTCTCTAAAGCTTGAAACGATTGCAGAAAGCTCATGACACGCAAGTGTGTTACGAGCTCAGACCGCCTTCGGGAATCGTCTTGAGAGGCGTGCGGAGGAAGTCTGCGGTGTTGGTATACACGGTGTTACCCCACCAATTGACGAAGATCGAGCCGGCTTTGGGGAACTATGAATGTAGTATGGAGAGGGAGAAAGATGGGAATGAGAGAAGAATGAGGGGAAGAGAAAAAAAGGTAAGGAGGAAAGACGATGAATGAATTCAGTGAGAGTGAGCGAAAGAACAAAACATGAAACACCGCACCTGCAACGTAAAGAAAATGATAATCAAACTGATAACCGTCCCACAATCGAACGCTGCGCTTGTTACGTAGTTGAATTTTGCCCACCAGGCAAAGTTGCGTTTACGGATGAGATATTGGAAGATGAAGCCCACGGCAAACCAGGAGGAGTAGTTTATGCCTGTGTGAAGGAGGTTGAATCAGTAAGCGAGAGTAAACAGGGCAAAAAGACTACTCACCGGTAGCAGGCGGGATCGCACTAACCCCGTTCAAAATGACCGGAGTACTGACATATCTTATCCAGCTTCCCGGGTATCTTCTCTGCCACAACCAGAACGGGATTGGTAGAACAACACCAATGGCGATAGCGTATAGGTGAGGGTGGTACGGTGAACCGGTACCGAATTGACGGGTAGGTCCAATTAGACCCCTGGGCGTACGAGGGAGGTTAGATTTTTTAAAAGTAAAACAAGAAATAGAGATGGTCCAACCAGATAGCACTCGCAGTGAAGAACACCTGATTATGCGGGCACGTCAACTGACTCTTCTGGTCTGGCTGACAGATGTCGGGGACGTTGGCAAAGATCCATTGTTTAATACCAACTTGGACGAAAGAGGCGAGGATGGTGGAAATTAGTTGGACTGTTAGAAGTCATGATTAGACGATGAAGAGAAAGGGGAGAAGAGAATAAAGGCGTCAGTGAAATCTCAGATGGCATGAACAAATGTCGAACAGTCAGACGTAGCACGCATGAGTCGGGAATGAATCACGGCAAATGAATCAGGTTGGATTACAAGATGGTCATCTCCTCGCCGAGATTGAGAGCGAGCGTCTAGTGTCTCCAAACATGGATCCATCAACCCTCCATCGAACAGTCCAACCATGACCGTTTCTCCAACCTCCTTCAAAACTCCTAGTTCATATTTCTAATCAAACCAAAGAAACTCACCTAAGAACGTTGCCCTCGGTGGAATCTTGATATAATGTCCCAACTTCAAATCCTGGACAAAACTTGTCGCTTCCGAAAGGGTCTGTACCGAATACGCTTTGAACACCATGTTCGCCATTGGGTTTCCTGGGAGAAGGGTGCCTGGAATTATTTGAGCGACAATGTTTAGGGTTATCTATGAGGGGAGCAAATGTTGGGTGAGTTGTGTACACAGCTAACATATCAAAGACTCACCCCCTGTCCAGTCATAGCGTATATAAATCCACTCGGAAGAATATAAATCACCGGTAATGCGATGGCGAGGAGGAGAGCCCAGATGGGGACTCCAGCGTGCCAAACTTCGACAGCAATGACGGCGAGGGAGAAGAAGGTTACAATGGATAGGAGGTACCTACGAGTGAGAGAAGAGGGGAGTAGGTGTGATTGAGGAAGGAAGACGTTAGTGACACAGATCCAATGAAGAAGATGCGAGTAGTTAAAGAGGTAAAACCGAAGCAACAAGATTTTATAGGCATCAAAACTGTACTAACTACTCCTTGTCCAATGCGAGTGAACGACCAACAGAGGGAAAACCCGGAGGCGTCAGTGAATATCAGTGTAATCATAGTATATGCAAACGTATATCATGAATACCTCGCTCAGACGGACGAAGCGTCTCCCTCCGAAGATAGATCAACTTTCAAGCAAAAGGACGAACCGCCAAGAAACTCAAACCCATTTAAGAAACGAGAAAAAAATACTTACCACCACTCCGGTACCTCCGGATAACTCCTCATCAACTTCGCATGGATATCGTCGCTTTCGACCCTTATTCTCTTGACCCCTGCGAGGAGAGCTTTGCCGTGGTACAGCAGGGTATGGGTGATGACGCAGGTAGAGAGGGCGAATGCGATTAGGTAGCAGACCTTTGAAGAGTATCGTTAGTTTTTGGAACGAAGAAAGATCGAAAGCGAAACGAAGAGCGATTAATCAACAAAATGTCGTCACTCACAGCATACGTAGCAGGTAAATACAAGGGACTATACTCCTCGTACGCTGTTTGGTTGAATATATCATCTTTGGTGAGGACACGGGTGATGTTGTATGGGAGCCCGAAGCGGTCGTAGGGTTGGTTGTCGGATATGGGGAAGTAGGATAGATCCCAAGACTGTGTAGAAGGAAAAGTAGATGAGTAACAAAACGTATGAGAAGAGCTAGATCAAAGTAGAGTATAAAGGAGAGACCGAAGAAGGGAAAAGGATAAACAGACAAACGAACGATGAAAGGATAATTGAAACTCTCTACCTTCGTTAAAAAATATTCCAAGAAGCAAGGAGAAACGGCCCGGTTCGAAAGGAGTGAAGTAAAAGTCAGACGGAGGGTATTAGTATGAGACCCAACAGTTGACCACAGCGCGTTAACGCGGTATCTTCAATATCAAACGACGATAGAAAGAGGAGTCACGATCGGCAACGACGAAGAAGCGACTCTGACGACTCCGATAAGGCCGACGCTCACATCAATCTAAGCCCATCCAAGCACAGCTAACCAAATTGCAATCCAACCTAATCTTGCTCCACCGCAACCGGATCCTGCTCTGATACACGCCACGCCATGATGAGCGCCACGATAACCGAAAGGATAAAGATTCAGCGAGAAGGCGTCCAACCTCCCAACCTCTGACCAGTACTTCCTAACACCTCCGTTCTTCGCCCCACATAAACAAGTTTCAACAGCGCACAACAACGACCCTCATCAAGAAACATTCACTGAAGCCCGTTCCAACAAGGAAACAAAAAAGTAGGTTCAACGAGAACGACAAAACCACATTAGAAAATAGCTCAATCTACTTTCAAAGAAAAGAGAGGAGAAAAGGGAAGAGAAAAGGCAACGAAAACCAAAGGTATACAAATCACAAGGGAATACGCACATTGGTATAATACAACGCCGGCGTCAACACCCAGAAGAACGCTACGAAACCACCAAAGATATGCACTTGAGCCCACCAGGGGACCATGAGCGGAGATCCAATCCACGAAATCTATTAAGTCGATGAAAAATCCAATCAGTCAGACATTCTTTCATCTGGATAAAAAGGAATACGAAAATTGAACTCACCTGTGTCCAATCCGCTGTCACGACACTCATTCCCAAGCCAGAATACACCCCAAACAGCTGGTTAATCACCACATTTCCTGGGACCGCCCAACATATGAAGCTGAATATACTTAGAGCAGTGAAAAGGAATCCTGGGAGGAAGAAAAAGAAAAAGTTGAAGAGTGTGAGGTAGAGGAAAAAGCGGTAGCGAGTTATAGGGCGGCGCCTACGAGGAGGACGTGTAGGGGAGATTTTACTGAGTGTGGGATGCGTAGAAGGGAGGTTGGTGATATTGGGAAGACTGGGTAGACCGTTGACATTGGTCATGTCAGTGATGTCGGTGATGTCGTTGTTAGATGACGGGCCAAATGGGTTAAGAGAGGTTGATAATTTTGACAAAAACGTTATCGGAGCAGCTGAAGCAATCTTCCTGCGCCTTATCGGTTTGAGCGGAGCAGGTGTCGACGAAGCCGAATTCGGCATCGCTTCAACGTCGTCAGCACCCTGCGCCGCTTGTGCATGGCCTTCCCATCCAGTCGTCTCGTTCCCT